AACTGCGCCCACCGATCTAGCTGCCGTGTCATGTTTCCTCCTGCCTCCAGTGTTCTACCCGAGTGCACTTCAGCTTTATAAATTATGATTCAGCTTTCCTTCTGAAAGAACCCCCCCGGCAACACGAGCATCGTGTGTTTTCGTTTACGGAGTAAGCTTCAAACCCCTCACAGACCTGCGAATAAAGTGAATCACACCTCGGGGCGGGGGGGTATCACAATTACGGTTTGTTGAATCACAAGCCTCTGCAGTAGTCCTGACAGGACCCCAAATGGATGTTAAAGCTGCAGCCTGAGGAGGGGTTTGGATGCATTTCTATATGCTTTGGAGGCGGGGCATTCGAGAGCGGGTTCAGGTGGAATCAGGTGGACGGTTCCATGGGAATGAGAAGGCACAAGCCCCATTCACACATCCTGCTGCCTCACCATGTAAAGTGCAACAGAGCAACGAATTAGACTTCGGATGGATAAACTGGTGTGTCAAAAGATTTCCATGTTACAGAGAGCCACACACAGTTGAGCACTGTGGACACTGGGCACACCTGGGACCTACGGTCAACTGTGGGGTGGATTACACGGGGTTTACTGGACTTCCACGGCCAACGCCTGTCCTTCTTCCCTTCCCCGAGTCCTGCCACATCTTTGCTGCTACGTGACTCAGGGAAAATGTGACCACTAACAATGGTGAGCTCATTTATGATAGAGATCTGAGAGAGAGACACTGAAAGTCCCTTTTTTCTGAGTCACCAATTATGCCGAGTGCTCAATAACCAGAGGTCTACCGTGCTGGGCGAGTCAGCTGGGCAGGAAATCTGGTCTGATTAAGGCAGTGAGTAACATGGGAGCTCTGAACAGTTTCACATGACCAGGTATGGGGACCGAGCTGGCAATTGCTGCCGAGATAAGAGAGTTGTAGTTATTTACAGCACAGTCCCAGTCCTGGTCATCCTCATTGGCACAACTGCTCATGTTAAAATTTGGTAGTATGCACAGAGTTCTCTTTAATCTAAAAACCAGGAGACACTTGAGGACAGGAACCAGCGGCTTCATCTGGGTATTATTATCCTTTCTATGGCACACAGAATATGGTCCCAGTTTTTACAAAATATTGCAAGAAGAGTCACAGCAAAGAAGGTGCCAATGATGTGGAAGCGGCTCTTCATCATGGGCGAGACGAACTTGGCGATGGTGGACACACACACCAGGATGACAGTCATGAAGGCCAGCACCACGTTGATGCACTTCCCCAGGAGAACCCTGGCGTTCGCCGTGTCTGTCTGCTGGGCCTGCTGCTCCTGCTGGTGGAGCTCCAGCTTCGAAATGCGAGTCTGGCAGGATTCCAAGGCTTCCTGTGGGCAAAAGGCAGAGCAAGGATCAAATGCTGTGCGACCACGGGCAACCTGTGAGCGCCTGCCTGGAAGTGCACCAGAGCCCCCAGCTCAGAATGCTGCTGCCGAGGCAGCCCACAGCCACACTGACGACGACAATGACGACGGCAAAGAAAGAAAACAAGGCTCATTTTATCGTCATTTATGGGCAGAATGGGCATGTGTACACAACCATAAAGCCCATAAATGAGAAATTAGGGTTGGGTATTCTGACTCCACCTACATATGAAATAAAGTGCATATTGGCATCTGCTGGTGCCACAAGGGACAAATGGGGGGTGGTGGTGGTGGTGGTGTTAGGGTTCCATTTTGGGACAGTTGTCTACTTCTAGCCATGGAATAGGTAGTATCTCTAAGTCTAGTCCTTATTTCACTGCTCAGTCTGTGTGCACCCATTACCGACTGGCAGAGGATGGAGCGAGAAAGGCAGGGACAGGACTGACTGCGGGACAGCTCTGTTTCACCTGTGTCTCAAGACACTATCTGAGGCCATGCATTCTCTCTAGATCCTGTTCTTTCCAAGATTTCAATGAACTAAGATAAGATGATGCCAGGATACCTCTGGCCCAGCTGTCTCTTCTGAGATCGACTCATATATCTACACACCTTCTTGAGCTTCCTAAAAGCACCTCAAATGCAGTATGCCCAAATGTGGATTCATGTATTGCACCTTGTCCCGTACCTACCATCAGTCCTGATTCCCTTCCAGTTCCTTTTCTCAGAACATGGCATCTAATATGCCCAGTTCCTCAGGCCAGAAGACTGAGGCATTCATCAATGCTGTCATCACCCAGCCCCCTCGATACAACATCCAGGATCTATCTCAACTGGTCTATTTCTCTCCCCTCCCAGTCACCACCCCAATCTAAGCCACCAGGGTCTCTTGCCTGCAACAAATACAGAAATTTTTCCACACACCCTCTTGATCCCAACCTCATGAATTCACTTTCCACACAGCAGCCCAAGTGATCTTTGAAAGATGCATATCTGCTGTCACTCCTTGTAAACTTCCTGCATCTTTAACATGGCTCAGACCCAGCTACGCTCTCCTGCTCAGTGTTCTGTCCGTACCGGCTTTCCAAGTTCTGAGAAGGAGCACACTTGGGGCTCTGCATATGCAGTGCATGTGTCTGGCATGTCTGCCTCCCCACTTCCTCCTCTCTTCATCTGTGGATCTCCCATTCAGGCCTCAAGTTCCCTGTCGCATCCTGAGGGAAGCCTTCCTGACCCATCAGACTACGCCAAGCCTCCCTTTAGCCCTCCTCCCTGACCAAGAGGCCACAGCTGCATGAGGATGAGGACGAGGCCCACTGAGCTGCGATCCCCAGCAGGAGGCCAGTGGCAGGCATGCAGCAGGTGCTACATACTAGCTGAACACTCAGGAGACTGGGTTATGGGGTATGAGGCTTGAAAGAGAAAAACCTTTAGTCTCTTGAGAGAAAAGGACCTAAGTAGAAGGGGGTACAGTGAACCCCTTTTAGTTCACTAGCCTACTGTCTAGCACTCTAGCTCATTTACAAATATGTGTTTATTCAGTTAAAATACAGCCATCTTCTTGGGTTTTTAAACAGCACAATGATTTAACATGATTTGCTTTTCTTTTGCTGAATATACTCTATGGGTCAAAGAACAGGGTTGGCTGTTACTATAGTAACTTTTGTTACACAGGCTACCAGCAAAAAAGGTAAAACTTTTTCAGATCTTCATATTCTAAAAAATACTGCTCTCTACAACAACACACAAGTACCCACATCATTCATATATATATATATATATATTTAAACATTTTGGCTCAAGGTTTCCTTCATTTAGGACACGGCATGGGAAAGTGATGGAACAAGACAAAAGACCAACATTGTAGGCAAATTCATCTATCTTTGATTGGGTAGATGAATTACATATATAAATAGAATGATCCTAGAATTGTCTTAGAACTGCTATCAATTGTTTTTAACCAAAAGAAAAATCCAAAAAATTTAAGCAATGCATTGTAAGGAACTTTGGTCACAGCACACACTAGGAGATAGTCAGCCCCACAACTGTCAGACTTCCTTGGGTCCAGTATTTAATTTATTGAGGATAAACACAAAGGACAGGATTATCTTCTAAACTCTTTTCATGGGAAATTAGGGTTAAAAACCCCAATACTCAATTGCTTAAAATAACAACAAATTCTTGCAACCCTGTAGGCCACAGCCACCCTCATCTATACTGGCGCATCCTCTGGAATAACCCTGTGAACAAAAGAAACAACAAATAGGACAAAGCTGAGCAGGCCCACCTGCTAAAAGCCCTGGGATATATGGCTACCCACCCACATACTAAAAACATTTATTTTTTGACTGCTTATGTGTCCGGCAAAGATTTAAGTACTTTACGTTATTACTAGTATCCCATTTAATTCTCTCGACAACCTTAGGAGATAGAGCTCATTAATATTTCCATTTTATAGATGAGGAAACTGAGGTACAGGACGCTGACTTGTCCAGGGCCACACTAAGTAGTAGAGCCAGGACCCAGAGATGTTCTAAAACAGAATGATCTAATAAACCCGCATTGTTCATTTGGCAACACTGAACACTTAAATGGGTTCACATTTTTTGAAGCCAGTCAGTGGTGAAGCTGTCTCCTAGCCTGGAGCAGGGGCAGACATCCTCAGCGTCTTCTGCCCCAGGTCCCCAGGCAAGCATTTCCTACCAGCTCTGCCTGATGCCGGAACTGTCCAAACACACATGTGGGATTAACCCAAGCTCCGCCCTCCACACAGAGTGGGACAAAACATGGGCGCTGACACACTAGCTCACACACTGTGGGAGAAATCTCTCTTTATGCTTCAGTTTTCTCCCTTATGAAATGGGTCTGGAGAAAATAATCACTGGCTACAAAGAAAATTTGCAAAAATGAAGCTGAACATTACTCAAAGAGTATAATTTTTTTTTTTTTTTAAAAGGCAATCCGCAGGTATATAAACTGGTGCAGCCACTGTGGAAAACAGTATGCAGTTCCTAAAAAAAAAAAATTAAAGATAAAACTATCAGAGGACCCAGCAATCCCACTTCTGGGTATATAACTACAGGAAATGAAATCAGTATTTAGAAGAGCTATCTGCACCCCCATGTTCCCTGCAGCATTATTTACAATAGCCAAGTCATGGAAACAACCTAAGTGTTTATTGATGAATGAATAAAATGTGGCATTATATCTACAATGGAATACTATGCAGCCATGAGAAAGAAGGAAATAACTGCCACTTGCAATGCCATTTGACATGGATGGACCTTGAGGGCATTATGCTAAGTGAAATAAACCAGGCAGAGAAAGACAAATACTCTATGTTCTCAATTATATGTTGAATCTAAAAAACTGAACTCATAGAAGAGGGGATAGACTGGTGGCTGCCAGAGGTGCAGGGACAAAATGGGTGAAGGTGCTCAAAAGCTATAATCTTCCAATTATAAAAGCAAGATTTGTTTTACATTTTAAAGTTTTTAAAAATTTTGGTTGTGGTGGGGAGAGTAGGGTACAGATGATGAGGTTGGGGGGTGGGGTTAGATAATAAGAATTTGTTAATTAATTTAGGCAGAAAGTAAACAGAATATAGCTTCTTTACCCAGTAATGTCTATAAAACAGTGACTTTAAACCGATGTGCTGCAAGAATTTTTACCTATTTAGTCAGAGGCACTGACCTCTTTTCCTTTAAATTGTCAAATAAAAAAATGACAACAGCCAACACAATAGCCCTCTGCTGTGAATGAATCAAAATGGTGCCTTTTTTTGGTCAGACTGGCAAAAATATATAGTATTTTATACTTTGGTGTGCCACAGAATTTTAGTAAGTAGTTTATGTGTGTTATGAGATGAAAAAGGTTGAAAATTGCTGGTCTATAACATGAGCTGATGGGGTTAATATGGTAGAGAACTAATGCTTGCCAAGGGGTATGCACTTAGTGTGTTAAGTGAATTAACGGCTGGGAAAAGCCCCGTGTGTGCCCAAGGAGGGGGGGAAGGGCACCTGGATGTCCCGCGAGCGCTCGTAGGCCTGGTAGGCCACCTTCTCCTCGATGCTGGCCAGCTCCTGCTTCAGGTCGGCCGTCTCGTGCTGATGCAGGTCTGTCAGGTCATGGAGCTGGTCTTCTAGTCGCTCGTACCTTTGAGAGAGAGGAGCCGATTCTGAGCACGACATTTCAAAGGTGTTCTAAGAGCACATTCCAGAATGACGTCCTTTATCTCACTGCTGCCAGTGCCCTTTGGCTTGCTGTCATCTCCTGGCAGACTGTTTCCAAAAGAAAAGTCTGGCTGTGGGAAATGCACTGACTTCCAGCTCTGGTCTCTGTAGTCCTAACTGTCCTCACCACTGAGTTTCATGCAAAGCAAATCTGGCTTTTCCACCCAGGTCAGAACCGCGTGTTGACTGACTGTGATGACAATAGGAAAGGACCTCAACAATGACATGTTCACTGTGGCTGGTCAGGAGGCAGGGTTGTGGGGGATCCTGCTCAAGGCAAGGACCCACTGGCATCCCAATGCTCCTCCCCTCTGCGCCCCCACAGTGCCCAGCAGTTCATGGCCAGGTGCCAGAGTGCCTAGAAGGAAAGAACCAACGACTACACTGGAGCCAACTCCATGATTTCCTAGTGTACACATTGATTCTGAATACATGTCCCAGTTCTTGGAACTGCAGTGCCAACAACAAAGTAAGCTCACTATAAATTATAGATGGCTTACCAGGTCAGGTGGCATTTCCAAAAGTACTAAGTTAAGGTAACAGAGGCACCTTAGAAAGATTCCCATTCTTGGCCCTCATCCCCCTCAGAGAGGAGAGATTTACCTCATACATATTTACATAAACTTATAGTGTTTATTTTGAAGCAAGAAGCACTAATTTGGAGAAGATGCATTAGCCTGAAATGAATTTGATCAACGCCAGTTTTAAGATCCTTATACATTTTTTAAAAATGAGACCAAAAAAATACATATTTAATGCTTAATCTCAGGTAGGACTTCATAGGTGCCCAATGCTGGTGTTATAAACAAGCCCTTTAAAGATCTCTTAAAGTAAGCAATATAGTCAGTTGCTAAATCATGGAGATCACAAACATTAAGTATACTAGTGGCCCGGTGCTTGGATTTGTGCACATTGAAAGGAAATTAATTAGAAGAAATATTTTAATATCGCTATTCACCTTTTCTCTATAACAGAAGTGTCAGAAATGAAAGAAAATTAGTAAAATGTATATGAAAATAAAATATAACTTGATTAATAAATAATAACATGATATAGCAACAAAGACATGATATAAAAACAAAACATGATATAAAAACATTGATAAAACAATGACTGATAAGTTGATTAAACTTATTCTAATATCTCCCTGTATACCACATTAAGAGTAAAAACACTTTCAGAGTGCTTGGCTACTTTCCCTTATGATGAAGTATCTAGAACTTTAACTTTAATGTCACATGCTACATAGTAAATGAGTTTCTCAGTAGCATGATGATTGCACCTACTTTCAATTTTAATTTATGACAAGGCATTCCCGAAGGAGTAATACTATTAAGAAATTCGATGGGAGCTTTATATGTATTGTGCATGTGCGAGTCAACATTTATTTTTAAACTAGAGGCCCGGTGCATGAATTTGTGCATGGGTGGGATCCCTCTGGGTGGCCTGCGGGGATCAGGCCAAAACCTGCAGTCTAACGTCACCTGCAGCTTCTACTTGCCACTCCCACTTATCCCGACCCCCTGTGCCTGCTGTGGGCTTAAGTTCAATCAGTCCCGATAGGGAGGCTCGCATTGCTACAGCAGTGCTCGCCAGCCATGAGCCCTGCGTCTGGCGCCCTCTTGAGGGGAGTGGCCTGCAGGATTGAGCTGAAACTGGCTCTCTGACATCCCCTCAGGGGTCCCAGATTGCAGGAAGGCGTAGGCCAGGCCGAGGAACCTGACCAGTGCATGATCGGGCTGGGGAGAGGCAATGGGAGGGCTACAGGGCGTGTCCAGCCCCGTCTTGCCCAGTCCTGATCAGCTAACCTACCAGTCAGAGCATCTGCCCCCTGGTGGTCAGTGCACGTCATAGCGAGTGGTTGAGTGGCCTTAGCATATCATTAGCATATTATACTTTGATTTGTTGAACAGTTGACCAGTCACCGGACGACGGAACACTTAGCATATTAGGCTATTATTATATAGGATTGCCAGTGCATGTCATATGTACTGGCCAGTTAGTTGGTCGGATGTACGTACGGATGATCACATAGCCTTTTATATATACAGATAACAAATGAGAACAAAAACTTTCCTAAATTTATGTAAGTGGGTATTTGTGACTTAGGATAAAATTTGGACCCAAAGAGTACTGCATTCCAAGCTAGTCGAATGGAATTAAGCTTAATATTCTCTGGAAAATTTGTGATTCAAAAATAGTTCTGTGTGACAAAGAAACTAAAGTCAAAGACATATTAGGAAAGTTTAAAAATTGTTTCAGAAAATACAGCTGAAAAGAGCCACATTCCTAAGTTAATACATATATAAAACCATGTATCAGATATAAGACATGTAAGCTAAAACTTAAATCTTATAATATGTGATAGGTATTTACTTTTTTACTTTTTGTTGTCTACAGGATGATGCTCAGCCAACTGAGCCACACTGGCCAGAGCCCAAATGCCTTTTGACCCATATTCCTCTTTATGAAAAGTACAACCATTAGCATATCACTATCAAGCAATCTCTCTGCAATTAGTAACTCATGCTTCCAAATAAATTCTAAGAGAATTGTCTGAAATAATACCTGTATCTCTCCTCTTGCAGGGTCTGAGAAATAAAACCGTATTCTCTCTTAAACTGCACCTTCAGGGCCTCGATGTCCTCGGCCAGCTGTGCCTGGGTATCCTTGATCTCCCTCAATTCCTCCAGGATCATGGTGAGCTTCCCCTGGCTGTCCAGTGTGCCCGCTCCGGTGGCCCCAAATGACTGGTTCCCATTACTGTCGGCGGAGCCCGATGTGCCACTTGAGCACTCGTCGTCGCTGCCATACTTGGGTTTGTTTACGATGGTCGAGCTGCCCCCATAGACCCTGGCACTCGCCTCGGGTCTAAACTCCTCTAAGGAATTTTTTAAGTGAGCAATGTTGTCTGCGCTGCCAAACTTATTCCGGATCAAGTTGGCAAACTCTTTGGACTTATTGAAGACAAATACAGGTGGAGTGAGGGAGACCCCTGGCATGCCTGATTTACTGCTCTCCAGGCTGTGCGGAGCAGTTCGAGACTTGGCCTGGGCATCTTTCAGGGAGTGCTGGATATCCTTCAGGTTGTCCTTGGAGATTCTGGAGGCTCCGTTCTGTTCGATCTCCTTGAGCTTTCTGTGATACTGCTCTAATTTCTTCTGCAGCTGGGCAATGGAGTGAGCTGATTTCTGATTCTTCTTCTCAAAGACTTGTTTGATGCGGCCAGCCTGCTGCTTGTCGGCGCTGTTGACTAGTTTCAGATATTCCGCAACATTCCCATCCCGGGACGTCTGCTCGATTTTGATCTGCTCTGTTACCTTTAGAATTTTTTGTTTCAGGCTGTCCGCATTGAGCTTGACCTTGTGGAAGTCCAGGATGCCATCTGGTACATCAAAGTTGAGGTTGGTGTCTGACCCGCCTCGGCGTATGTTCAGGGGCAAGCTTAGGGTATTCATGTCATGGCGCTCTACCTGAAAAAGAGCAGAAGTAACTGTAAGATTTGAAGTCTAAGAGACAGTTACTGTGATAGAATCTGTGCTCACAACAGACATACTTCAGTCCTAGATTTTTAAAAAACTCCCTATTATTGTTGAACACAGGACAACAGTCCAACTCCTTCTCATATCCATGTACACTACCTGTGAGATTCAGAGTCCCAGGGAATTCATTTTCTGTCTGATCCGATGGCAACTTTTGGTTGGCAGGGGAGAAATGCATAGAATGAGTTTACCAGTCAGTCCAGGTTTCCCAAAGTGCCCAGGTAATGGGGATGCCTGCCATGCCCCATTCACCATTGAGGGAAGTCATCCAAATCAGAACTCAATCATTTAATAGAAGGAGAATGAAAGAAATAAATAAAAGAAAAATAAAAGAAAGTTCTAGCAGGTACATTCATTTACACAATAAATTATTTTCTTTTATTTTTTAAATGTTTTTATTGATTTCAGGGAGAAAGGTGCAGGGAGAGAGAGAGCTAGAAACATCAATAAGAGAGAATCATTGATCAGCTGCCCCTGCATGCTCCCCTCCCCCCCACAACCTGGGCATGTGCCCCGACCAGTAATCGAATGTGATCTCCTGATTTATGGGTCAACACTCAACCAGCCAGGCAAGAAATTATTTTCTTAATGAAATAATTAACAGATGTGATGAAATAATATGGTGCAAGATTAATTTTAATAATTGAGTAATACAACAATATTTAGATGTGGAAACAACCGCAAACCACAACTAAAGTGATTAAAAAACAGTAGTACTAATATTACTAGTAAGATCATTTGAAATAGCTTTCTTATTCAAGGGCTGCCTGGGGAAAAGAACTATGAAGTGAGAATCTTGGCAGGGAAGGTGGGTGGGTGGGGCGTTAGCCTGGCTATAAAAGGGAAGCAAATGCAGAATGTGTGCCAGGCACTGCGGATGCTCACAGGGCTGTCCTATTAGATCCTCTCTACCAAACCAGGCAAATAATGTGTTAAATCTGTGTAATACGTAGAAATTGAGACTTAAAGGAGTCAGGATTTGAATCAAATCACCCTAACCAGGTCCTCTTGCCATGTCAGGACACTCTCACACTTGTGTCCCTAGAGGACCAAAACCAGGTCTTGGTAGACTCTGAATACATCCTCTAAACAAAGATTTGTAAGATCTAAATTGAAGCATCTTAGCTGTCAAGTTAACAACCCTTTGATTAGAATAATGCCTTGATATAGATTCTCACGTGGGAGACAATACAATATTCAGCCCAAGTTACTTTTTTTTTTTAAAGGGGATAGTACACTGACATAGCAAAAAATTAGTAAGATAATAACAGACTGCACACTGCCCAAGTGGCCCAGACTTAAATGTGGACTCTTTCCAACAATGAATATTAACAGTTTGCCATATGAAAAATGCTACCCAGTGCTTTTTCCCAGAAGCACAGGGGGACACACCCAGACTGGTGGGGCAGGCCTCCTTTGTAACTTACAAAATCTGTTACCATTATTCCTTGGCCCCTGTCTTCCACATACCATTTTGCCATGGGTAAGCGACACTGGTTGTTTTATCTGGCAGAAAAGCATCAGGCTGGAAGGAACTCAATGCCAAATCACTATCAGACTAGAAAACAGGATGTATGAAAAAAGGATAAAGGAACAGTAACTTCACCTGGTCAAGAGGGAAGAATGGGTGCAGGGACTAAAGAAAGCATATAATAATCATCAAGTCCTAGAGAGATGAGTACAGGAAACTCTAGGAAGTATGCATCGATGGCGCACTAGTGGACCCAAAAAGGAATGGGCTTAAGTAACAGCAATAAGGCATGCATGAAACCTAGCAAATGTTTATTTTGGGCAGACAGGGTAACGGTACAACCATGAGGCTGGGAAAATGATGTCACTGAAGATATCTAATTTAATCGTGCTTCTCTACTTCTCAAAAATTTCCTTTGGCTCACTAATGCCTCCCAATTAACTAATACAACCTGGCCACTGTAAGGCCTTAGCTTACCTTTCAGGACTCACCCTGCACCTGATGGATGCTGGTTATCTTAAGTAACCCAAGCAACTCAAAGTTCCCAGAATGTATGTGAATTTTCTATGGATTTCCTCCTGCATCTAGTATTTGCAATGCCTGCTACCCATTCACCTCTGCTAATTCAAATCCTACATGTGCTGCAATATGCATTTCAAATGCCACTTCTTCCATGAAGTTTGTCCCAGTCCCACTGGAAAGCTGCCTTGCCTTTCTGTGATCCCCCTTTACTCCTCCTTTCTCACTCATGCAGGGGGAGATGGGTCATACCTGTGGCCAGCCTGTGCTGGCATGGCCCCTATTCACAGGAGGCTGTCTATGAATGCTTGCATGATGACATCATTCAGGAGAGTCTACACTGGAGTCATTTAAGATACATTTTAATAGAATAAAAAAATAACCTTAGAAGTTTGGCCCACACAGACCTGACAATTCCAGGTAGAGATGTTTTTCTAATACCCATGTAATAAACTCTACATCATTTCACAATGATCCAACTAAATGGAGATCAGGTGCAACAACATACACAAGCATAAATCAGGGCTTTTAAATATAGCTTATAGTCAGAAAAGAGCACATTTAATAAGTTTAAAACTTAATGAATTTCCAAAAACTGAACATATTATGTAACCAGGACCCAGTTGGAAAAACAGAAGGGCAACTTCCTTGTGCCCCCTTCAATCACAGATGCATCATCCTCACCTCCAGAGGTAACCATGCACATGACCTCAGCATTCTCGCCTTTTTTTGCTCTACACTGTGAGATTCGCAAAAGCCTGCTCCTGCCCTCCTTGTGCTCACAGGATAAAGTTATTTAAAAACAAAAACAAAACCAAAAAAACCCCACCAAACAACCTGCTTGTATTCTCCATTGTGAAGTCCACCACCACGTCTGAAGATACAGAGGTTTCTACACCTTACCAACGGCAGCGGTTAAGTCCTCACCTGTTCTTCCTCCTTTAATTCTCAACCACACTGCAGCTGGCCACCCAACAACTCCGGCATCTCAACACAATGGCCTGGCTCTCTTACAGGCTGCTGGGCCAGGACAGCCTCGTAGACACGGGAGTGTTTATGCCCAGAGGGCTGGCTGACTCTATAATAATGCTTGGCATGTTCATGAGAATCCAGGTCAGGGAAAACTACTAGAGTTAAAGCTCAAATCAATCACTCCTAATGCTTGTCCGCAAATCTCAGTTAGAAATGTTTGATAAGGGTAAGAAGTTGGACCTATTGCTGGGCCACTCCTTGCAAGCCTTGTAGTCTCGACTTCTGCAGAGTAATTGAAAGTCAGCTAGACGCCCATACACTCCCTGAACAGAAACTGAAACTTCATCACATGCTGGGAAGAAAGCATGAGGGGCCTCAGCACTGAGGGCAGCTGTACAGTGCAGCTGTTTTAGGGCTGAGACCTGGGGAAGAGGACAAAGGGTCACCAATCCTGGAGCCCCATGCATGTGGACTGTGTGGGCCAGGAGACACGTGTCCCAGTTTTGGCACTGACATGTATCAGCTATGTTGTTCTTTGGTAAATCAAATCACATCTGTGGTTTCAGATTTCCTAATTACAGACAAAGGAGATAGAACCAGACAACTGAGAGCTAACACTGTAAAATTCCATGAAATGTAATCCCATTCCCTGAAATGCATCTTTGCTGTTGAAAGCGGGTAGAAATAGAATGTTGGGGAACCAGCTAGTATTGTAAAAAATATTAATCATGCTCTGTTGACCATGATTATTTTATTCTGATTAAAGAAGGCACATTCTACCCTGGCTGGAGCTGACCTGGAGAAGCAGCCCTTCCTCCCCATTTGGGGCTGCCTATAATCATGGAAAGATTAACAAAGATTTGTTACAGAAACCAGAATCGCCAGCCCTTTGAAGATCCCCAGTCCTTTTGCATATCTGTAAACTGCCCTTTTGCCTACTTTTCCTTTGTACTTCTACCTATATAAGCGCTGGCTTATGGTGGGCTGCAGAGCAGATTTTTGTGGAACCTGCTGCTCTTGCATATTGCCGGCAATACTGGAATAAAGGCTCATATATGATTCAACCCTGTCTGTGCTTAATTGGCTCGAGTAGTGACAGGCAGCACGGACCCATTGTTTGTCTGGTTACACTGTGAGATAGTATCACGGAATAGTCAAGGGCTGGGCTCTGGAGGCAGACTGCTTTGGTTTCCTTCTTGGCACCACTCTTCTGAGCTGTGTGATCTTGGAGAGGTGACTTTAACCTCTCTGTGCCTCGGTTTCCTCTTCTGTAAAATGGAGATAATAATTCTTCAAAGAGTAGTTGTGAGGAAAACTAAGATAATGTACAGAAAGTGCTTAAATACTTCCTGGCACAGAGAGTGGTTTCAATAAATGTTTACTATTGTTATTTAAAAATGTGCCCTATATGTAAAAACTGAAAGGCACAATGGTTATTATTTTTGTACTGGGGGGTTATAAAGAGTCATTCTTCTAATGCTTTCGTATGTTACAATTTCTAAAAAATAATAAACATGAATTACTGTTTTGGCAGAAGAGCTGCTGTTTTTAAAATGACTGCTAGCCTCTCTCAGTTCTCAGAATTACTTGGCTATTATTACCTTACATGAAAGGCGGAACACCACTCCGCAGTGAAGCCATTTCTAATGTTTTCCTTCCGGCAGTAGAAACATTTCCACTGTCACCTCGATGTTCTGGAACAAAGGCTACGGGAAAGCTAAAGCCCTGGACAGACGTCAATAACTGACACAGTCATCTCTGCAACAATCCAAGCCTCCAGCATAGGAGGAAGCTCGGCTCCTCAGCCTGGTGCCAGTCACCACCAGTGCTGCTCTAACACATTGTCAGGGGTCCAAAGAGAGCTGTCCCCTGCCATATCCTTATTTATCCCCTAGAGCTCCAGGAGGAAATGAACAAAAAGGGAAGGAGCACTAGTGCAGAGGCACACCACCCAAACCCCCACCCTTTC